ACCTATACTTAAATTATAGCTATTAATAATTCATTACTAATTAACTACAATTATATACTAAATATTACAATTACAAATAATTATAAGTAGTTAATTATAGAATTTTAATTTTAATTATAAGATTAGGGTAAGCTAGAGTAGGTAGCCTACTTAAGGCTAAGTAAGTATAATTTAGACCTACTTAAGTAGGGGAACGACGTACTATTTCTACCTAGGTAGGTAATAAATATACTTTATACCTAGAAGAACTTATATATTAAGAAGACTAAGATATATTAAGCTTATCGCCCTATTTAGAAGGCTAATATAGCCTCGTAAGATATATCCTCGTTAGAGGAAGTAATTACGTAATTATAATTATAATTATTTTACTAGGAACTATAACTATAATTACTATAATTGTAAGTAGTTATATAGTTAACCTAATAAATAATTAATAAGTATAACTTAAATTAGAATATATAGCCTCCTCGGATCCTAGATATAGTAGACAACTCGATAAGATATATATCTAGCGGGATTTGTATACCTTTATAGTACTAGATTGCCTACTATTAGCCGTTAGACTACTAAGAATATATCTAACGCTTATACTTATAAAACGGGCTATTACTCTAGACCTATTATTTATACTAGGAGGATCGTATTTATAGTATATTATTAGGCTATCTATAGAGGCGATTTCGTCGGAACTAGTTATAAAATTATATATAGATCGATAAGGTATCCTAAAACCGATTCGATATACTTACTATATAGCTATATAGTTCGATTCTCTCGTTCGAGCGGATATAGCTACGAGAGCTAATCGGTAGTCTATATTCGGTTGTTTACGAGTATCTCGCCTATATATATAAGTTAGCTAGTATTTTTAGTTTTTTACTCCTTAGTACTAATAGAATTTCGAAGAATTCTATTCCGTACGGCTAGTAAAGTATATAATACTATATATAAATATATATATATACTAGTACTTAGAGAGTATTTAGAGCGCGCTACATAGCGCCGTATAGTAGCGGCATATTTCGTATATAGAAACGCTTATAGTAGATACTAAGAATATTATTCCTACTAGAATATCTATCCTATCTACTACTATCTCGAATATAGATATTCTAGCCTTTAAGAATCTAATCGAGGGCTTTAAAATCCTTATCTATAATTGTAATACGCTTTACGTAGATAGCTATAAGGTTAACCGCTAAGATAGTATTAGTATAGTTCGAAAAGAGGTAGAAGAGAAATATATATTCGAAGATACGAACTAGGTAGGCTTCTAAAGCCTCTTAAAGGGCCTCTATTATAGAGGCTTAGAAGCGATAGTCTAGTATAATATACTAGCAATTTCGCAATTAAGTCGTTAGAAAGGAGCTTTACGGATTAGGAGTTTACTAGTACAATTACTCTAATACCTCCGAATCTCTCGAAGGGCTACGGCTAAAGAAGGATTAGTAAAAAAAAGTAAGAATACCGGCTACGCTACCGGCTATAGATAAGACTTACTTCCTAGGCGCTATCGACGCTTCGTACGATTATTACTACTAGTAGTAGAAGCGCTAGTTATTGTCTTACGCGGAGCCTTATCTGCGACGCCCTTTTTAGTACTAGAGCTAGCGGTAGTAGTAGCAGCCTTCTTACGTAGATATACTATACTCGTTCTACTACTTCCGGTCTTATTACGACCCGTAGAAGTACTAGGTCCCTTCTTACGAGACGTCGTAACTTAGTTAAGTAGACTCGGTATTATAAAAGTCGTCGAATTAATAAAAGAGTACGTTATAAAGGTATACGAAGGCGCGCGCCGCGCGCGGAGCAAGGGTATAGCGGAGATAGTAGATATAGAGTATAGAGATATAGATATTAATATAAAGGTTATATATAGCGAGAGAGGTAGTATCGCGGTATCGCTAGGCAATAGAGTAAGCGTCGCGTAAGCCTATATTATAGTAACGTTAGAGCAAGTAAAGAAGGTAGGTATAGCTAAAATAGGTAGATACGGCAAACTTTAAAATATAGCCGGTACCTATAGCCGGTATAGTAATATAACGAGAGCCTCCTTTTAATAAATAGTCGGCGTAATAATAGTACCCTACTATAGTATAGATATTCTTTAGTAATTAGATTAGATTCCGAACTATCTTCCTCGTCTAGAAGTCTAAATACTTATCCGCTAGATAGTAAAACGGCGACTTACTTTATAGCTTTATAAGAAGGACTTAGGAAATTCTACCTAGATACCTTCTACCGTTATTACTATAATACTACTATATACTATCTAACTATCTATAAACAGTTAAGATCCGGCTAGAGGTACTAGCTATAGTAATCTTATAAGTAACCTAGGCCTATTAGGCTATTACTAGGAAATATAACAAATATCTATACTATAGTAGGCTATACTAAACAAGCTAGCTATTTAGTAGGAAGAGGCCTACTACCGTCTCTATATACCGGCTACGAGTGCCGGCTATATCTCTAAATTTAATTCCGCCCTATCTCGAAGGCTAAGGTACCGAGTAGAAACCCTATAGCTTATATTATTTACTCGAGTATCGCGGAGCGCTTATAGGTAAGATATTAGGAAAGTATATAAAAAGGTATAAGAAGAGTATCCTAGGATATAGGTTATAAGTAAATAAGAGTAGTACGCCTAGTTATTTATATAGTACGTTACTCTAAACGACTAAGAGCCTATATAATCTCGTACTTTGCTTATAAGACCTCGACTCTACTAGTATACTATTAATCTCCTCCTCGGTCGCCCTAGCTATAGAGTAGCGGCGAGCGATAATACTGTTTACTATTAATTACTAGGGCGTCGCCTAGATATTCTAAGAAGAGATTACTAGATAATAATTATATAGATCCGTTAGGAAAGGGCTAAAAGTTTGCTTACTTTAAGTTATCGAAGATATATTATAGAAGGATTTTCCTCCTTCGCTACGAATATAGTAGCTACCTTTTTATTCTTAAATATATTATCTAAGGATTTTATTATCTATTACGTATACTATATTTAGCTTTCGACTACTAAAAGGACTTATCTAAGCCTTAGAATAGCGTACAGGTTGTCCTAAAGCCTCCTAGAATACCAATACGGATTCGTTATTAAGCGTCTTTATAGTTAAGACACTAAATATTTTATATAGCGTCTTCTACCGAGCGGAAATACATATTCTTAATCTTAAGTAGAATCCTTAAAGCCGGTATAATATAACCTTATCTTCGTAAACTTCAGCTAGTAGCTCCTTACCTACTAACTTTAGATACTCGTAGACGCTTCTAGATTTAGATTGAATTAGATAGATATAGATATCGTTAAGATCTAGGACGATTTTAATATTCTTTGTAATAATTATTATAGTAGTAGTATATAAATCGGAACTATTATAATTGTTAAGACTAAAAGCGCGCTTAGTAAAAGTGTTTCGAGTCTAAGGTCTACTACTAGGTTAAATCGCGCTATACGTTAATGTTTCTAGGCTCGTTAAGCGTAAATTCGGTATTATTAGCTTTGCCGTAAGTTGCGATAACTTAATATAGCGTCTTATATTAAGAAATAGTAATTGTCCTCTCTAGCTTAGGTATTACTTTAAGTTTAAATAGTAAGAAGCCGATTATAAGCCTCTTACTCGTCTTTCTCGTCTTAGAATCTTAGTATCGAAAGTAAAACTTAGCTAAGTCTCGACTACGTTCGGCGATTTATCTAACTACTTCTACTAAGACTCTTAGTTAAACGATTACAATCCGCGTAAGATTCTCCGGCTAGATACTAGACGCTAGACGCTATATATTATCGATAAGCGTACTAGAGAGCGGGGAAAGACCGTAGATTTCTAGGGAGGTTTTTAAGATTTGTTCTTCGTCCTAAGAGAACGATAAAGAGCGATATAAAGGGGCTAAAGAAGGAAAGAAGCGTAAGATCTATAGATAGGAGATTTAGATCCTTAGAGAAGGGTTAAATATTATCTAGCCTTTAGATACTAGTATAGTTACTTAAGGATAGTTTGTTTAGATATAGAGGGCGTTATATCTATTCCTAGATAAGTGCCCTTACTACGAGGTATAGAAGCGTCTTAGTTAGGTCTATAGGAGTATAAATATAAAAAGAAGGTATTATTATCGCTACTACTAGTATTCGTATTATAGTATAGAAGAGGCTAAGAACTAGGTACCTAGAGGATACCGCGGGTATAGAGAACGCTAATATAGTCTCTAGTCGCTACACGATCTTCCCTAAAGTCAACCAGATATAGTACTAATTACTATCGCTCGTCGATAGTAGGGAAATTTAAGGCCTTTAATAAGCTACGGATATAGTAATACTAGTATAGATAGTACTAATATAAGTTCTACTAATATAAGTGCTAATACGAGTAATAATAGTATATATAATACTAATAAAGTGCTTATAAACCGTCTATCTATTCGTAGATTGCTAACTCTATAGCCTAAAGTTTTTCTAGCTTATTCCTAAAGCTACTATAGTAGGGCTTTATAGAAAAGTATAGATAGGAATAAAATCTAATATAGCGGGAGCGTAGTAGCTCGATAGTATAGGCGTATAGCTCTTCCTTAAATATAGGCCGCGATTAAGAGCTTATACCTCCTTATTTAGCGGCTTATTTAGAGTTTACCCTATCTTATACCTCTTATATCGCTCTTATATCTTATCCTACTATAAGTCGGCGCTAGTAGCGGGTATACGCTTTCTCCTATTAAGGTATATAGGAGGTCTTAAGGTCTTCCTAGCTAGCGCTTTATTACTAGCGACGGTACTTAGTATAGGTATAATAGAAGAAGTAGGATGCCTAGGCATAGCCGAAGAAGCTTGCGCGGCTAGTATAGTTAATAAGTGGGTTATAAAAGGTATAAGATTGCTCGAAAGGGTCTGCTAGTACTATAGCAGTCTTATAGAACAACTCTAAGTCCTAGTCGTACGCCATTGTTGGTCAAGAAGTCGGCTAGTAGATTGCCGGCTTTGTTGCAGAATCAATACAATGGTGCCTGGCATGGGAAATGTATCGTTACACCAGTTAAATGTCCTATGAAGCTTATGCTGCACTCCCTTGAAACTGAGTGAGTCCGCGTGCCGCGCGATCATACACAGCTGCAATGCCCTCTCCCACTGCCATTGCCGTTCCGCAATGCCGTGCTCACGCTTGGACGCGTGTTGGGATCCTTGCGGACTTGGCTATGAAGCCATTTGAAAAGGATTTGTACTGGTTGGCACCATCAGGACCAAGATGTGGAGAGTATTGTCACGAGCAAGTCGCCAGTCTCCTTCATGTGCTCAGCCTTTCATCCTAAGGCTGCAGATGTCTAATAGCGAGAGAATAGGCTTCCATCTTCGAGCATCGTAGTACTGGATCTTATCGGCTGTCGAGGAGTGCGCGAGCTTACCTTTCGCTACTGTCCTGCTACTCGGATCGTTTCGTTTTGCCTCTGCGGGAACTTTTCACATCTTCTGGAGCTACCGATACTTGTCCATCACGATCAGGCCCGGTCAAGAAGCGATCCATGGCGAGTGACGAGGCAGAAGTAGGACTAGGCGTGTAACAAGGCCCGTCAATTCAGTCACGCCATACGCCTAGGAAGCATCTGCCACGATCGAGTCTGGCGAAGGAAGTGCTTAATAGCAAGATTATTAAGGCATAAGTGAGCTAGGTTGGGCTTGGCGCAGGCGAAGATAGCCTTCTTGATATCGTCGACATCCTTCTTCTTGTTAGCAGCCTCGATCGCGGCCTACCCCTTCCCTAGAGAGGTATCCTGAATACCCAAAGCCCTGAACATCTCGTACATCCTCGTCCTGCGGTAGCCTTCCGCGCCGCACTGGTTGTACGTACCGGTGATGTAAGTACCGGTGAACTCGCGCTCGACGCGGAGGTTAGGGCAGTCGGCTTTGTTGTAGCGAACCTCTCCGTGGTTGAAGCGCTCGCTGGCTAGGCTGCCGCCATCCTTACGTAGCTTTGGGCAGTCCGCGCGAAATGACCTTCGTCTCCACAGTTGTGGTAGCCGCCACCGTAAGGAGCGTCGGCGTGTTTGGACATGTTGTCGGTGGAAAAGCCAGCACTGCCGCCATCCTTGCGTGGCTTTGGGCAGTCCTACGCGAAATGACCTTCGTCTCCAGAGTTGTGGTAGCCGCCATCGTGAGGAGCGTCGGCGTGCTTGGCACGTTGTCGGCAGAAAAGCCACCATCCATGTTGTCGCCGCCGATGTTGCGATCGGCCTGCCAGCCGCCAGCATCGCCGCCAGAACCGGGTTCGGTCATGCAAGGATTGTCGACAGGATCAGGTGGAGCATTATCCCAAGTGGAGCTGCGCATGGTGACTGTCGCTGTTGTCGGATGAGGAAAGGTATACTTGGAAGAGTGCTTCGTGACGGCCAGGCGATCCGGTGTCGGTCTTCCAGGAATTTTCGACGGCACCTGCGTCTGTGTTAGCCTTGTGCGCATGATGGGCGAAGGTGGAGCATGTACCAGCTGGAGCACTGTCCCAAGTAGAGGTGCCCATTGTGACTGTCGCGGTTGTGCTGTCGAAGGTGTACTTGGAAGAGTGCGGGAATACGTGTAAGTGTGTTGGGATGTTGTTGGGATGTGCTTCTGGTTGCGCCTTCTCGAATCTCACGCTTCCTGCGGTGAAGTAAGCGCGGTTGACTACGCTAGGCGCACTGTACAGAATGCCCAAAGAGTCAAGCAGAACATAGTGCAGAAACGTCCAGCCAGCATGCAGGAGGCGCCAACGGCGGCCAGGTCCCGGTGTCCGCAACTCTTATCTCCATCTCGACGGTTTCCTTTTCTCAAGCCTATACCTCCAAGCGCCGAAGAAATGCCCGTTCGACCGAGGCACAAAACCAATATAGTCAAAAGGTGAGGAAGATGCGTATGCGCCCAGAACGCAGGAGACTTTAGCTGAGCCAGAGCAGATGCGGTAGTGGCTTCATCACCGATTCGTGGATTGTGTTGAGTTCAAGGGGAGCCTTTGAGCCTTATGCTACGCCTCACGATCTATGTATTCGGCGTTCATTCTCTCACGCGACTCCCCACCTAGACCGTTGATGTCGTACGCTTGGTTGCGACAGAAGTGGTAGTCATATGAACGAATTCAAACTCATCCTGGGCTCTACGCTCTTGCAGTCGTCGACGAGCGTCAAGAACCTTGCAGAGAGCTTCAGGGTGCTGAAGTGACGTGTCCTAATCAGAAATAGTCGGAGATGTGGGCGAAGCACTCCCTCCTCGATTGGATAAGTTTGTTGATGTCTTACTGTCAAGTCGATGTGATACGAAGGCCTGTCGGGGTTAGCTATATATCAGCAACTGCAGGGGTGGCACGGGGCAGCCGGAGTTGCTAGCAACGCCGGCCCGGGGTAGCCGGAGTTGCTAGCAACGCTAGCCCTACTAAGCCCCGCTAAACCTTATACAGATCGTAGTCTTAGTATACCTACATCCTCCGCTTATCCCAAATTTTCTATATAACCTCTTCTATTAACCCCTATATTCTATAATAGACCTATCTACGCCTAACGACGTCGCTACCCTTTAGCGGCTTCGACAACGAGTGTTTAACCTTATAGAAGATATTAAAATAGACACTAATAGGTAGAGTTTAATCTAGAAACTATATAGCAATTAATATACCCGGAAATCTACTAAGAAGCTATCTATAACAACACCCTATATAGAGACAGGGCTATACTATAAGAAGTCCTACTTCTATTATATAGAAAAGCAGCGCTTTAACAAGCTAAACAAGGAAGCAGTAGGTATTAAGGATAGGCGTATATTTAAGCCGCTTAAGAAGGAGTGTAGAATAGGCTTTATTACTAAGGTTAAATACCGTAACAACAAGGCTACTAGAAGAGTTAGTATTCGTCGCTATACTGCTATAACTAAATATATATATACGCTCGACCATCTTAATAGCCGGAAGGTTTGCTAATATATTAAAGATAAGGTTAAAAAGCAAATCGATTACTCGCTATAAGCTAGAAGAACCTTCGACGCCTTATAGGGCTAATATAGTAACAATCTCGGTATCTCTTATCTCGATATTAGTGCTATATATAATGCCGCTAAATAATCGCCTTATTACAACTATAATAAGCGCTTTATAACTTAAGAAGAGAGAGGCAATGCGGACCTTTAATTATAGGCTATTATACGGACTGCAAAGGAGCACAACCTATACTTCTAACAGTTTAGTATTAATACTAAAGATAGCATTAGGAGAGGCTTTATATAGGCAACAGAAGAAGGTATTCAGTTATTAATAAAGTACGGCAAATTGATACTACTAGACGATATACACGAAGTTAATTAACTAGATTAGAAGCTATTTAACGTCCTTATAAGCGACGACAACCTTAAATAGCGGCCTATAGCATACGCACTGCTAGAAAGCAAACATAGTATTGTCTACGCGCAAGCACTTAGCTATATAGCTTCTTAGGGTCGTTGTAGTAAGCCTAGCGGCTAGCAGTTACAATAGTCTATTCTTAATAACTCGGCATCTAAACAATAGGCTATTCGAGACATATTTCTATAGGTTTATACCTACCTATGCCAACGATACTCGTTAGGGCCTGTTCTCTTTTAGCTGCACTTCCGAGGCAGGTAGTATTAATAGCCGCTGCTACTATAAGTAAACAACTATAGCTAAACTCGACCTTCTGTATCTCTAAGAGAACAAGTTTATTAATATCTCCTTCTTCTATTATATACAGGTGTTGTTTAAACCTATAGTAAAGTGTTATAACCTATAGTCGTAGATTGTGTAAGGGCTTAGCGTGCCGAAGCCTAAATTCGAGCTATATACTCTTAGGTAGAACTCGACCTCTTGCTGCTATATAATACCCTTGTATAACCTATATTATAGCTCGGATATACGGTCGCTTCTTCGTCGATAGTATCCTTAGCATCTCCTTTAATTTGTATACAATCGGTAGTGTTTTAAGTGCGACCGACCCTCCGCAATAGATGCTAGCTCCTAGCAACGCCTAGCTGCCCTCGTAAGCTGTATCGCTATAGCGTAGTACTACGACGAAGAACTAGACCGCCGCGAATATATACACACCGATAACGGCTACAACAAGGCCGCCGAGCTATTGTCCGATAAAAGAAAGCTCTACGAGAATTGTCGGTTAGATAAGGATGCCTTTATAGCCTTGCTTAATACCCTATACGAGAAGGGTTTGTAGCTAACAAAGCACCTTACTACAGCCGAGCGTTTAATGCACTTCCTTATAGTTATGTCGCTATCCTTTAGCTTCCGGTAAATAGACCTTGTATTTAATAGGTCTAAGGCGACAGTCTATAAGTTATTCTATGCTATTCTTGCTACTTTGCTTAAGCTATATAATAAGGTTGTTAAAGAGCCGGATTATAACAGTATTCCTACGAAGATTATAAGCTTAACGAACAGCCGTAGAACGGGCAAATTTAATAGAGACCTTTTGCCGGCAGAAGAGGGTCACAACCTATAGTTACAACTATAGTTACAACCGTAGTTACAAGGCTTAATATAGTATAGCGCTCTTGCCTTAGGCTCTTACTAAGTTATCAAATCTTCCGTATTATCCGTATATAGTAGTTGCGAGTGCGTAAATAATCCACCTCTTATCGCGTAGAAGTCGTGTTTCTCGAGCGCCTCGATAGCAGGTAATATATTAGACGATAATATAATAGTTGCTAGACTCGTAATCGCCGTCTGCGAAGAATGTAGCTTTCTCGAGCGCGCTAGGTTAAAGCCGCCGCCTATACTATTCCGACTATTCGTATAGACGCTAGATGCCTAGCTAGACGAGTAGGTAGAGCGTTATATAAGGTAAGTGTCGATAGTAAGGTTAATATAGAGGTTTAAGTTGCAAAAGCGAGGTTAGCGCCTATATATTACCGCCCTCGGGAGTTTCCGCCGTACCTATAGTCTAGTATAGTGTTAATCTCTCGCATAGGTTTACGAAGCTAGAAATACGACAACTTGTTATAGCACTCGATATTAAGGGTTGCGAATAGCGGAATAGTAATAAACCTAACCTAGAGCTCGCTCTTAGCCTCGTTCTATAGCGAATGTCGTTCCCTTCTCGCTAGTTCGATGCTTCTACTAAATTCGGCAAATGCGAGTCCTATTATAGTCTTGTCTTTAACGATGTTGTCCTATAGATATATTAGCAATTTGCGAAGATAATAGTATAGCATCTACGCCTTAATAGCTATCGTCGACTAAAGATGTTCGCTCTTGCTACTCGGAAGCGTAGAACACGAGGATTTATATAGGGATTTATCGACGGGCATTTTAGTAGGTTCTGCAGACTAAGCAAAGATTAACGACGTATCTATAGTAGACACTATAGTGCACACGGCTGCAAATTCTAGGCTATAGTAATACTAGACGGTCTTATTTCCTTACTTATTAGACCATTTAATAGCAGAGATAATAACTAGCGAATGTAGCAACTCTCCGGCGTTAAACACCGCCTACGAAGGATTATAAGAGATAGGCGTGTTCTATATCTCTATAGCGACCCGGCATACTATAGCAACTTCGGCATTATAGCTCCTTATAAGCATTATCTTAGACGGTCTTACTTAACGCCTTAGCAACAAGCATTTAATAAGAAGCTGTCTAGTATCCGGATCGAGGTCGAACACCTATTTAGATACACTATATAGCTATAGTCTTATAACGTGTTCTCGAAGCAATTAAGGTTGAGACAATAGCCTATTAGAGCCTATTTTATAGTAGTAGCACTGCTTACTAACTGTTATATCTGCCTTCGTAGATACAATTAAACAAGTAAGCGATTTAGACTTAATCCTCTAGATTTGTAGGACTACCTCTTACGGCCCCGTTCGGACCTCTCGGACGATAAAAGCGTAAGCTTAGAAGGCTAAAATCTAGTAGTTTCTGAATTATTTGAGCTTACTAGACTATTGCCGAAGGGGACCGAGATCTTCTAAGAGAGGGTATTAGCACTAGAATAGGGAACGGGTTAGTCTCGGAGGTTCGGCGTTCTCCGCTAAGGCTCCGCTTATACTTCGAGCTTAATTTACCTATACCCCTAACCCCTCTAAACAATACTATTATATGCTCGTTACATACAAACAGATTATATAAGGTTGTTTACCTAATTAGTAGCTATAATAGCATATAAAAAGTATTCAATTTGAGCAATATTTAGTATTGCAATAGGCACCGACGCTAGCGACTAAATCTCGCTCGAAGCAACTAGCTAGCTCTACCGAAGAACGCTATTTGCAGGTCCGGAAACTCGCTATTAAGACTTAATTCTACTAGATCTCTCGAGGGGAGCGGAGTTAGTATACTAGGCGATTGCGCTAAATTAAATTGCATGCCTTGCCTTAATAAAAAGCTCTTTAAAAGGCTATTAGTCTTATCGCTAGTGCTCCGTATAGAAGATACGGTAGAATTCAGAGACTTAACCTCGTTCTTAATAGACACAACGTCTACTCTAACCTCCTTCTTAAACGTTTCTAGGTTATCCTTAATCGCTAATATATCTTCTTCTATCTCTTGTCTTCGACGCTTTGCTATACGGCTCTTACTGCTATTGTTGTCGTTATCTTCTCGCTTTATATCTCTCTTTAGCTTAATAGCTAGTACTATAAACAACTCTCCTGCCTGCGAGCGTGTATTATAGTCCTACTGCCGCATATCGTCGATTAAGGCTCCGCCGCGATGTTTACTTTAAGCACGCTTAGATTGAATAGAAGACTCGTATTGTCTACGAGTGCGAGAAGGTATAGCAGATCTACGAGAAGAAGGGGTTACTAGAGTTGCTAGACGAGAAGTAGTACGTACGGATTAAGTACGCTTACTAGACACACTTCTAGAGCTAACCTCGTTACCGATAACAACCTTAACTAACGGTCTAGCATTATTTCTAGACGGCGGCGGCATAGCTTCGAGATTAGCGATACGGCGGCGCTTACGCTCAATCTCCTCGTCTTATTCTAGCTCTTCTTCGTAGCTAGGCGCGTCCTCGTCGTTATTGCCGCCCTTACCCGTTACACTATTATTAACCTCAACTTCTACCTCGTTATTACCTTTATCTACGCCCGGGCCTTTATCTTTACTTATTACTAGCGAATCTGGCATCTCTTGCTCCTTAATAAACTAGCGATTAGCGTCCGGAGTGCGCTGCTTCTTCGACTGCAAACTTAGTATATTATACTTGTCGCGATAGCTCGTAGCGGCGTCTAATTCTTCGCGCCGCTATATAATAACAGCAGCCTCCTTAGCGGCCTTATGTGCCTCTCGGTATCTATACTAGGTACGCATTTCCGCCTATATCGAGCTAGGCTCGTCTTCTTCCTTACTAGTGCTATTACCGCTCTCTTTAACGTTGAATTTAGGAAACTACTCCTTCTCGAGCCCCTACGTTATACGGTCGAGCGACATATGCTAAATACTAGTACTTCTATAGTACTTAGCGGTTATAAGGTCCCACTATCTAGTAGTGCTATACGAGGCCTTATAGTTATACGCTATTCGAATAAGCGCCTTCTTATTGTCCTTAGATTAACTACGCCGATTCTTCTTCTTCGCCGCCTTAATCGCCGCATCCGAAGTGTCTACGGCTCCGCTAGTATTAGTAGCTATTCTACGTAGCAAGTCCTTTACCCTATTGCCTCTCTAGACCGCCGTATTGTTACGCTTTAACTCGTTATCTGCGGCCTCGCTTGGCGCCTACGAGTCGACATCTATAGGTGCCTAAGAGGCTCGAAATAAGAGCGTTTAAGTGCGGAAGTTAGGCGCTTAAGAAGATATAACAATTAGTATAAGAAAGAGATATAATCTACGCGATTAGAAGACGCGTTTAGCACTCGAGGAAGTTAGATCTACTATCTTATTTAGCAAACTATAACACCCGCTATACTACTATAAGACCGTTACAATAGTAGTAGCTAGGTTACTACGCGTAGTAACCGGGGTATAACAGTTGTAACTACTGCACGGTCTAGGTTGTTATAAGCGTTTAAAAGAGGTCTAGGGGTTGCCTTATTAAGCCTTATGCCCTTCCGTTATAACTACTAATCCGCCGGCAAAAGGTCTCTATTCTTCCCCTAGTTTAAGGACTGTATTAGAGCCCTCGACGGCAGCTATATTATTGCTTACGTACCTCGTAATAAACAGGTGCTATAGCGCAATAGGAAGGGCTCTATCTCGTAGAATGTGCTAGCAGTCGTTAACTTTAATATGCTATTTACGTATGTGCTTGCTAGATAGGAGGGCTCTATAAACGACGCTAGGGTGCTATTATACGCTCGAGAAATAGAAGGCTTCGGTACCAACTGTCTATATAACAAGTACTATCTCGCAGATACTAGCTATCCGAGTACTCGACTTACTATTATGCCCTTCCGTACTATACGTTATTACTTAAAGGAGTAGCAAAGCGGTAACCGTCGACCTAAGAACGAGTAAGAGCTGTTTAACTTGCGGCACTCGAGCCTACGCAACGTTATCGAGCGGACGTTTAGTATATTAAAGGAGCGCTTCAAGATCCTTCGTAACACTAATAGACCTGCCTTTAATATAGAGACACAAGTAGCTCTAGTTTATAGCTTAGTGTGCCTATATAACTTTATTCGCCGTACTAATCTATCGGACGAGTTAATTACTAACGAGTTTAAGCGCTAGAACAACGAAGAGCCGCTCTTTAATAAGGAGGTCCGTATAGGTAGTAAACGAAGCGCTACTTAGACGCTCAGTTAAGCAGCTTCTACTAAGAATAAGAAGATGTCCGCTTAGCGTGCTCGGTATACAAAGGACATATAGCAAGACTATTTAGTTGAGCTTAATCACCGTAGATTAGCTGTTTAGTAGAAGGGTGTCAATAGCAAAGAGACTATATAGAATATAGATATCGGTACCTTAAAGCCTTATCGTTATCGTATTGATCACTTTTATTAGCGCCGTTTGCTAGAAAGTGTCTCAATCGACTTAACTCGTTAAGATTTAAGTTATATTCGAGAAGCTCTTCGAGATGTTAGAGACTATTCTAACCGATCTCTATATTACCTCCGCAGAGCCGGTATAAGACTATTTCTTAACTAAATTAGATAATTTTTTGATAAGATTGTAGCCCGTAGCGAGTAGATATTTCGCTATTATACAAACATATAGTATAGGTATTGTCTTAGTAGTATACTAGACTATTAGCGGTCGTTTAGATTCGAGTAGGGATGTAGCTAACACCTCCGCGGAGCTAAGCTAGGGTCGGCTTTAAGCGACTCGATACCGGCTCTAGGTCCGCTTGCTAAGCCGGAGACGCACACTAGATTATTAAAACCTATATACTATTAGAACACTATAACTAGCCGTCGGAAGCATATAAAAATTGATACGGAGTATAATATATATATATTCTCGAAGACTTATAAATTTTGTATATATATATAGACCTAGTGTTAAATAGTAGATAGTTAGGGTTGTTAAAAGCCAAACTCCGTACTCCGCTAGAAACGCGCTTAAATTAGATCGCTTCTTAACTCGCTTACTTAATCTCGGACTTAATATCTTCTTCTATAGCGCTCTCGTCGGCAATCTAACGGATCTATATACGCCTATATCTTAGAGTGCCCTTATAGAAGGACCTAGCTTCGAAGTCGCTAAAGGTCTTATCGTAGAAGGCCTTGCTATAGGCTCTATAGAGCTTATAAGATAGGTTGAAGTCGTTTAACTTGTTAAGAGCTAGCTTTACTAGAATATCGGGTCTTATACTAATAAGGCCTTATATAATAGCATTAGCTAAGCGGACAGCACCTCTACGAGGGCCCTTCTAGTTAATGCTTATAATAGGCGCCTTAGCAGCAGAATGAATGTCCTAGCTCTACGTAGCTTCGTCCTAGAAAGTAGCCTATTTCGCTAGTGTTTGAGCCGTTTCTAAGGGAGCCTTCTATAGCCTAGTAGGAGGTAAATTCTCTTTGTCGGCCTCGTTGTCGCTAATAGATACTAGCTCCTTAGATTGCGAGGATTTAGCCTTCTTGTTAGCCTTCTTATTAGCCTTGCTAGACAGTCGCTTCTTCGAGGCACTAGCGCCGCCCTTAGAAGCGTTGCCTATAGCCGTCTTGTTACTATAGATTGTAGCGTAGAGTGCAACATATAGCATAGGGTAATCCCTTAGAGGCTTCGCATTCTTATAGACCTTCTTAGCAAGATAGTCCTTCTATATAAAGGAGTTAGTAGTAATAGTGCTAGTGTCGTAGTTAATGCCGAAGCTAGACTCGTATTTAAGCGCTATAAAGGCAGCGTAGAGGGCTTTATAGAATAACAGCTTCGTACGGCATTGTTTCTAAGAGATAGACCGCTTTGCTTAACGAGATACATTAGATATAACATCTTCGCGAGCCTATAGCTTCAATTGACCGTTACGGTAGTTGTTAAGGTCTATTTGAAGGGCAACGTTCTCGAGGAGGATTTGTTCTATTTTGCCTGTCTAAACAAGCCGACCTTCTTTATCGTCGGAAGAGGTATCTTCGTCGCTAGAACCGGCCTGTATACTATCTTATAGGGCGGCAATATTGTCTCTAATATTAACCTAAGAATTGACAAGCTAGCTGTCCGCTAAGGCAGCCTATATAGCGGTTAGTATACTAGTAGGTGCTAACTAGGAGTCGTCGGAGGTAGCTTAAGGAGTAGATTTAGCTATAGTAAACGCAGGATTTGTTTCTTAACGAGGAAGTGTCGGATCGAGATGATTTTTATAGCAAATTAAAGCGTATAATCTTCTTATATTTTCGGCGTATACGATAGTATATATAGACATTGTTAGTGTTAATGTTCGTAGTAATAGAAACAATAGAATTTGTCGCATTCTTAGGGAAGTGTAAATTCTACTTGCTAAGCCCCGCTCGGATATTACCGCGGGTAGATCTAGGCGCCTATATAGCTAGTATTTAGCTCTCGTTACATTCTATAAGGACAACTAATACTAGAAGTGAACAAGTGCGTTATAAGAAGATGCTATAGGGTCTATTAGAAGTAATAGTGCACTTAGAAGGTCTATAAGTGCTAGTCTATAGCCTGGTTTAGTGCCACTTCAATCTATACTAGGTACTACGACCTGCCTCGGAAGTGTAGCTAAAAGAGAACAGGCCCTTATAGACTATCCGCCGCAAATTTCCGCTTAAGAGTGCTTATAAGAAGGTCTATAAGAAGCTCGTATAGGTTATACTATACGCAGAGTCTAAGGAAGAGGTAGAGGTTAGAATATAGGCTGCTTTTAATGCCCTTCCTAGCGGCAAGAACGACGAGAAGTATAGCTATATAGAACGAGAATAGTTAGTCGAGCACGCTTAGATATAGACTACCTACTAGCGGAGGAACAATCTACTGCTTATACGTATAAGTACTATATAATAGTACCTTCCGTCCTCTTAGAGCGGGTATTTACTAACTGCTATTGCTTAGGCACGTACAACGTCGCTAGTTAAGGGTTACTACTCCGATTTTAAGAGCGATATTAGCACTATTAAGGGCAACTTCTTACTCTCCGGCACCTTTACACACTCGCTAAAGGTAGATAGGAAGTGGTATAACAATACTAATAAGGCTTCTGCGAAGGATAATATGCTTTACCTATTTAGTCGACTATAAGGCGATTGCGAGCGGTTTAACGAGCTTCTATATTGCCTTTAAAGCCTTATTACTAAGCAGTATCGACTCGCTTAGAAGCGCGCTAATAGCGGCCTTCTAAATTGGTTACGATATTAACTATAGATCGATAACTACATCCCTAATATGTGCTAGTATTACTTCTAGAAGCAGTATTACTAACCGTGTCGCTATATCTAGTACGATTAAGAGATTAAAGGCAGTAGAATAACTGCTTAATAGGTAGATTGCTATATAGACCGTTTCTTCGACCCTAAAGGCTTTAATAGCGATATTAACTTAACTAAGACACACTTAGAATAGCTTATTAACGAGAATCTACTAGAAGAAGATAAGGAAGGTAAGATAGAGACTCTTCGCACTATTACGAAGGACCGTTACCTTCTATTACATAGTATACTCGAGAATATTATATACGACTATTATTAGAAGGCGAAGTAGGCAGAGGCGGTTATTCTAGCTAACTTGTTACACGCCTATCGGACTAATATTGCTATATAGTATTAGTCTAAATATATGCGACTATCGGCGGCGGCAGAGCTATTACAATAGCTCTAGTAGTATCGACAGCGATACGACAATAGTACGTTGTTTACTATCTAATAGGCGTAGGTCGATATAGGCGTAGGCGCCTTACTACTAGTCTACTAGTAATAACAACCTCGCTAAATATAATAACCGCGATAGGCGAGGGACCTGTTCGCGCTAGGGGAGGGCACTTAGCGCGCGCTAGAGTATATAGCGACTACTTTCTATACTAATTAGTATAGAAACAGTTACTACTATCCTCCGCCGTCGTTCTAGCCCCCTCCGCTATCGCAATTTAAGCCTACGTAGGTAACTAACTCGGTACTATAGAATACGTACGCCGTAGGCGACGGCACCTTCTAATATAGTATATCTTCTTCAAACGACGGCAGTTTAATAGACGTAATGCGCTAGGTCCTTTACTAATAGCGCCTTCTATATATGCCTACTATACCGAGCGGTCTTCGCTACTCTATAGCAGCTACCGATATACCGACGCTATAGCCGTTAAACCTATTAAGATATATGCTATAATAATAGTCGCTAATAGATATATTACAACTTAGCAATTAGTAGGTAGGGGTATTTATTAACGACCGACGATACTTATTAGAAGAATAGTAGCGGCTATTTAATAGTAGGACCTTTAGTAGTAATCTATACTATAGCGGCGGTAGCGGCAGCGGTAGCGGCAGCGGTAGCAATAGACAATAAGGCAAGAGCAAGTAGATACACCTCGAATTTAGCGCAATAGCTATACTATACGTTAACTTTAGCTTTATTAAGTTATCGCTAGCGACCTTAGTAGAAATTACTATATTCCTAAAGCCCTTTTAAATTTAAAGCACATTTTAACCAAATTTATTAGGGGAGTTGCTAGCAACTCGAGGTAAGGGGTAGGATTAGGGTAAAAGTAGGTCGAGCCAATTAGCGCGAGTTGCTAATATATAGGCTACTCCTATCGGTAGGAGTTCGTAGCAACGGGGGTGCTCTAAAGTGTCGGGTCTATAGTCTATAGGACCTTAGCGTATGTCTAGGGTCCGAAGGAACTGCAATTAAATCGTAACAATATCGCTCTATATAAGAGCTATATAGCTTGCAGAGCTGCGTTATTACAGTGCTTATCGGATATAGTAGATCTTAGATAGCAGTGCTGTTATAGTTGTCGTACGAGGAACAGTTCTTAGTAAGGAACCGTTCTTAGCGGTAGAACTGTTCTAGTTTAACGAAGCGTTCCGCTAATAAGAACTATTCTGCGGATAGAACCGTGTACGTGCTTACAACTATTCATTTATGCAGTACTATTCGTAATACGATTACTGTTTATATACTTTACGATTGCGATTGCGCTTAGCTATCTACTACCCTATGCGGTCCTACCCTTGCTAGCGCTACTATAATCTACTAAATCCAACGTTAAATCCAACCCCTTTTAGCAAAGCCGATAGTCTAATCTATAATCGATTTCCGAAGGCCGCTCGTGTATTAGGTCGTAT